TCTCTAATTTTGGTGAATATTTTTGTCATTTTTGGTAAAAAGTGATATTTTTGACTTCTTGTTGAAAACTGCAAGTCTGATTGCTTTTATATTACATACATGTATATAGGTACTACATGTGGACCTCTCTCAGATTTGTTAATTTCGTTGTGAAATCTTCAATTATCTAATTTTGATGATTATTTTTGGTGAAAAGTGATATTTTTGAATTCTTGTTGAAAACAGCAAGTCCTGTTGCTTTGATACTATACATATTGTTCATTTTCTAATGATATCTTCTGTTCTTTAATTGCAATGTGCATTGCTAACAGGGGAGCTATCTCAGCCGACAGGCTGCTGTTTATAATATTCTGCAAGTTCAGGCTAAAAAAATGATTTGCTTCTAATCCTGGAGTGAGACACCTTTTTTTTTTTTGCTGTTTTTCATATGCTGATATGTTTGATGAATCTTGTTATCTGATTGACAGCTGTGGGTTTGACTTATTTGACAATTTTTTGTCTGAATGTCAATATTCCACATCAACAACGTGTGTAAGTCCTGATCCACTGTGACTGTTTATTTTTAGGTATGTATAGTTCAGAAGAAAGACACAAAGAAGATGTTTGCAATGAAATACATGAACAAAACTGCATGCATTAAGAAAGATGCCATCAAAAATGTCCTCAAAGAACAGGAAATCTTGCAAACGCTGGAGCACCCATTTTTAGTGAATCTGTGGTTTACCTTTCAAGATGAAGAAGACATGTTTATGGTGGTTGATTTGTTACTCGGTGGCGACTTACGATATCACATCCAACAAGAAGTGAAGTTTGATTCAAACCTAGTACGACTGTATATATGTGAACTCGCACTGGCTTTGGATTATCTCAAATGTTTTTCCATATTACACAGGTTAGTCAATTTTCAACTTTTTCTGTATTGATCATAATTGTTGTTAGGTATTTGGGAGGGGGCAACATTTCTGTTATATATATATACTGTAGTTTATAGAATCAGCAAAAGTTTCAAATTATAATAAGTACAGTACTCATTTCGCCCAGCCTCCCGCCCGCTTCCGGATTTCAATCGCTTTTTTTTCGCTCGCTTTGTTCAATTCGACCGCGCAATTTCCGCTTTTTTTTCGACCGCGCAAATCCGGAAGTATCCGCTCGCGCAATCGCTCGCTCGCTCGCTCGCCTGACAGAGCAACCGCCCGCATTTACAGTTCATTACCTACTGTTTCATGTACAAGTGTGCCATTTTTGTTTTTATGATGTTAAAATAAGAATAAATACAATC